TGCAACTTAGCGTGCGTGGGACGAACAACCACTTCGCCTCATTTGAGAATCGACAATCAGATCGAAGCAAATGAATTCGAAGATTTAGAGATTCAACACCTCCAAAATCACAGCTTCGAGAACATTGGCACTGAAATTTTGCACCTGGTCCATGGAAAGAATATGTTACCGATTGAGGAAGCCTGTATCGCACGAGAGGGCACATTGTATCCCTGTGGTCCGAATGATCGGCATAACACATTAATTACGGCTAACATGACCAATTACATTAATCACGGCTAACATTACCACGTCACCAGAATCTTTCGGCACTTACAGGATGATGAAATAGCCCATCGTACATAGGGAAAAAGTAAGGAACGGAAGACTTAATTCACATAACTAACCTCTTTCACGAATTCGTGAACTTTCCAAAGTTAATTAAAAAATGGCGGGATTTCTTCTATTCTTCAGCAAAGATAATAAACTTTATTTAAAAAGATGAACTTCCTCACAAAGCACAAGTTAAAATTGCTGCTAAAAAGAATTTTAACTGATGCAGGTTGCATGAGCAAGCCCAAGGCTTTCTGAACTTAAAAAGGTCAGTTTTGAAAGATGAGAAAGCCAAAAGTAAATATCCAAGTGCGTACCCTAGACTATCCTATAGTCAAAGAAAAGCACTTGGCCGACTGACGTGCAATCGTAGCTCCTTCTTGTGGAATCCCGATTTCCGCTCGGAAGTAAAGTCGGGATTAAGGACTCCTCATTCATGTGAATGAAACAAGGCATGTTGGTCAGTGTTCGTGGGGCAATAGAATATTCCCTGGGCGATCGATTCTAAGGTCAAGAGGGAAGTTCCTTCCGTTTTCCCTGGGATGAGCCACCCCGCGCCATCCAATCTCATTCCATTGAGGATGTCGATGTTCCGCAGAGTGGACCTGCGAGGACGTCGATTGCCCGGAGGAGCAGTAGTGCGTCATGGCCCACATCGAGTGCGACCTGCCGCCCGCCGAATGTCCCGAACAACCTTACTGCATATCCCAGATTGTAAACCCTAATCTTTCTTTTTATTGTAAACATCCGTTACATTCTCCCATAAGAACAGCTCCACACTGAAATTAGTTATTCCTGACTTTGGTGAGAAGGCATTTGGATTGGTGAAAATATAAGAGTTGGTAAATGAATAAGAAAACGTTGATAACAGCAGTGACGAAGCGCATTCAGGAGAAAGTGGGCTAGAAATCTTCAATCGACATCAATTCCATAAGGTAATATGTAATTACATACAGGGAGTTTCTGCCTTGATTGCAAATGGGTTTCCCCCTAAGCATAAATTGGAGAAAGTCAGAGTCTTGCTTGTCTCACGCGTTGAGAGAGCAGAGAACTAGGTGAGATAAGTAACGTCGTCTTCTTTAGCTCCTTTTTTGGCATTGGCCGCATGCGGATTACTTGCAGAAGTCACAGTCTGCTGTCATTCAGAGTTCAACGGAACTGCTGTCGGTTGCCGTATCGAGAGCATGACAATTGAGAAGATGTCGTTTCTTTTTTTCGCTCACAGACTGCCTGCCGGGTTACACCAGTATCATGCAGTGCATCACGACGCGCTGACTCCCCGGGACCTAGACCTTCTGAGTTTCGCATCGTGCGAAAATGTACGCCCCAACAAGAAAAGGATTATGAAAGAAATAAAGGAAATGCCAATAATGCGAAGAAACCCAAATGGATGAGACCTTTATCGTGAAAGTTCCAAGAAGTGAAAGCAACTCGACAGGAATCAAGACAATCAAAATATTACTGCATATGTTCTGGCACCGATACCAGTTCTTTCCGCCAATTTCTTTCATCAGTCATGTGATGAAACTTTTAAATTACTGGTGTCATTTGTTTCCGCAGCATTATAGATGCTTCTTAGGCACAGCCATCTTTTCCACATTACCGAATGAATGCCTTGGTTGAGTTTGTGGGATTTCTGGTGTCACACGCTCAGTAGGTAAAAAAAAATTGGATCAGAATGCTTTAATGTGCATCCCAGGAAAACAAACAAGTTCAGCTGAAGTGCAATTAAAGTAAGACAAGCACCTAAAGAAAATTGCATTAAAAATATCTGGAACAATTTCGTAGAGAACCTCATACTAGTATCATATTGAATGTTGAAACAGAACCATGGCTGCCAGGAAATGCAGATGAAGTTCATATTGCCAAGGAAGGAAGAACGAAACTCTAAGTAAACAGAATTGAAAGTGGGACATAACATGCTTGAAAGGCTTCATTCTGCTTTAGCATATTGCTTACTAGACACTGAACCCGTCGATTCGCCGCTCTGACCTAAGCCTCAGTCACCTCAGCCTGATGCACAAGGCTAGGACTTTTTCCGCAAAAGGCTAAGAAAAAAGACTCGCGGAAGGACTCAAAAACGGAGATCTCCATGGGCGGTACGCAAAATGTTAACGAATTCATCTGCATTAATTATTTAATTTTTTTCATTGAGAAGGAATTGCATTAATGCAGGTTGGTGTCACACCTGAGATTGAAGAGAGAATACTCGCCTGCAAATTCTTCTCAAATGTGTGGCAAGTATTCATCGAAGACCACAAGGGAAAAAACTTTCCCTGCGACAGAGCATGATATCCTTTATACTTCTGATGGCTGCCTCTGAGTAACTTCAAGAATCAGCATCTTGCATCTTCCAATGCTTCTCTGGGTATCCCAGAATGATGCAATTTAAGGTCTTGAAATATTTTAACTATGATCTATTAGTCTATGCTAGCGGTATTCAAATTGACTATTTTTTTTTTTTACATTACACTGCTTTAACGGCACTCAAGAATAATCGCGATAAACTCTTTTTTATTATTATTCATATTTGGAATCCTTCGCTGACAACTAACGAGATCAGTCATTGTTTAGACGCTCCGACACTTCTAAATATGTAAGCATCAACATTTTAATAAGGAAGCCTTGCCTAAACTTGCCCAAAATTCCGAGCATCCACATGCTGCAGAGAAAAAATGTTATCAATGAACGTTATTACTGCGGCCCTAAGTGCCTGTGCGACCCTCGCCTTAAAAAGTTTGGGGACCGCTGCTCTATGCCATCAAATGAAGTCAAATGTTTATTCATACTTTTAAAAGTGACACTCGTGCACACAACTCCTCATTGGCTTCCACGCCATTCTTATCCCCGTAGTAACAGACAACTTCCCTCAATGTCAGGTAAGCCTTGGAGAAGTCCTTGGCTTTCATGGTCGCAGCATCAAAATTACTCCTGGCATCCTCCACAATTGCTCCTTAAGTGTGCATGAGCGCCTGTCGCTTCCCTTTGCGTATGCCGTGTCGACCGTCGCATGAATACCTCTAAGTTGCCGGAAGCTGCCATTTAGTGAAGAGCAAAACTGCATTAAGGTTTGATATCATCTGTTTCAGATCCGACGTCACCAGGAAATTCATCTTCATTCCTGGAAATCTGCAATTCAAAAATTATGCCAGCCTCAAAGACGAATGATGGATTTGCAGAAGAAGCCCCTGAAGTGCCGATTACAACAAGCGGCTGATGGGTGAGCATTCTCTCGTCTTGCCCCTCATCATTATTATTTAAAAAAAAAGATATTTAGAAATACCAGCAAATTTGCTGACTTCTTCCCATGGACTATATGATCCTGCTCCAATCGGTTGTCATCACAGAATCCTCAACGCGAACAGACTCAAATTCCCGAGAATGACAAGTCTGCGAAGGAAAAAAAGCCGACGAAGCTTTCGCTGAAGGCGTTGGAGTATCAGCTATACTTGAAGATTGAATTTACGAAGGCCACAACTTTGCCCAGATGTTTTATGATGAACCTGTGAACTCCAGCCTGAGACAGCAGTACTTGGCTCTAAGTGGCAAACAAATCGCTTTGGGGGGAAAGATGAAGAGGTAATTGCCTTGGCATTGGAAAACCGCAAAGAGCTGAAGCTGAAAGGTAATTGGCTAAATAGGTAAATAGGTAACTTAAATAGGTCTAGAGCTAACTTTTTTAAAATACAAGGATGTGATGAAAAGGTTCTGCAGTTAAGAATTAAAACAGAAAATGGAGGGAAACTTTTAGTTGAACTCCTCTTCAGTAACGTTGGAATTCATTTCATGAATTCTTCTCTGAACTCTACAATTATTCAGGCCACTTCACACTCCTTTTGGGGACCCCCTCCTTTGTCATCAACTGACAAACCAGATTCAAACTTCAGACAAATGTGAGTGAAAGTAGACAAATGTGAGTGAAAGTTGACAAATGTGAGTGAAAGTAGCCAAATGGCTGATACGCTTTATTCTTGAGCACAAAAGTTCACGAAGACTGACGGAACTAAAAGTTTTTCCTTACTTTGGGCAGCTGTAATCTGTGCACTCAGAAAGTAACATGGCACATTCTGCATTTTATGCTGTCAGCTTTTTTGCAGAAGTATTAATACACAGCTTTTAGCTATATTCATGTGTAATCATTAGAACTTTTTGATCAACCCACATATTCTGTGTCTATTTCCCCCATTTTTTCAAAGCTGATCAATTGAATTCCTTAGGATATCACATACCTTCTCATGATGGAGATCCCATAATCTGCGCTATCACATACCCTATCATGAGGCAGCAAGCAGCACTCTTACCATCATCAAGCAGCCCCTTACCATCAGCAAACGAGACAATATTTGTAGATACCACATCAGGCATGGATGCAAGTGGGGTCAGTGTCACTTTCGTGTTGGTCCAAACTCTAGCTGGCGCTGCACCGATGTGTGTGCTTCTTCGACATGGGCTTTCAACTGGACGCACATAGGAAAATATTTGGATCGGCCAAAACAGGGACAGGTATATCCCCAAAAGCATTCGTGAGAGATGACTCCTCTGCTGAGCGGAATACCCTTGCAAAAACATATAATGCAACAGGATTGGAGGCGCTCACCACTAATGTCGTTTTAGCGACATTACAACCAATTGATGATCTGCATTCGGACGGTTAAAAGTGGTGTCATTGGAAATAAAAGACGTGAAAAGCGGTGAGAAGATTGTGTATATTCCAGCCAGCTAGGTTAATCATTCGGGGATGCACTCGGGGACAGGGTAGCAGGGTTCGGTGACGCATACCACCTCCTGCATCACGCATGTCTCTCCCGGCTCGCAGGTCACGTCCTCGCACGTGAACGCATCTAGGAGGCAGAGAAGGGGACGAGAAGCCTTGAGCAATCTCGACGGACCAGGTGAAAAGGCGTCTGTGGTTCTTAGTAATCTGAACGGCCTGACGCGGATAACTTCGATGGCGTCCCGCATTTTTCTCCGCTTCGTTCAACGCCCTTTCAAGAGGTAATTCGGAGGACGCAGAACAGATGCTTTCTTTGCGAAGTTTACTAAGATGATAATTACCTGATAAAAATTACCACTAATAGAATAATAACTCCTACTTTCATTAATACCATCATCATATTAATGATTCATATGTTAACATTATCCATCTGATGGTAACGTACCGTAAGGCACGCAGAAGGGCATGAGAGGGCAGAAGCCAGGGGGAAGGTCGCAGATGACGTGACCCATGACACAGTCTTCAGGGCATTCCACGTCCGAACAGGTCAGCTCTGTGGAGCATTCCAGAAAATCTCAGGTCGACGCCACTGACAAAATATCCTATTCATAGGTCTTCTCCTGACCTCTCTTACGAGAGAGTGCCAGATTTATCTGTAGTTTTTTCCCCCGAAATGGCATGAGTATGTATACACCATGTTATAATTCAACTGTACCAATGGTATTCAGCGACCACGAGTGCTGATCCTAAGACTTGAACAATTTTTCAATAAATCTATTTGACGGGAGAAAAAAAACTCCTTAGTGCTGAACACGTGGATTTGAACCTCCCAACATAAAATGTTAAGAAGAGATTCTTGAGAACTCAAAATGAGACCAATATTTAAACGCTCAAAGTTTCGCGTTCAATATACGTATATAAATACTGTTTACTATTTTCGGAAATACATATTTGCGCAACCTTCGAGTCAGTATCTTCGGATACTCAGTTTTCCTGTTCCTGCTTCGATCAACTGGAAGCTTCAGAAGTTCTTACACTATTTCCCATGCCTAAATTCGGAGGAAGAAATGCCATCGGAGAAAAGAGGTATTTTCATTTTTAATAATTTGTACGGAATGAGTATTATATTTCTTCAAAATGCTGCACAATCAAAATCGAGCATATCGAATTCACACGCCTTCAGCATTTTTTTCCTTCTATGCAAAATCCATTTCACTTCGATATACAAAAAATCTCGAACTCTAAAAAAAAAAGTTTTATAACTTCCGAGTCTCTTGGTGCTCTCGAGACTGAACGTCTTGAGTCAACGCTTGGAAAATTGTCGAATTTCTACGCTGCTCCAAAACGATAGCGAAACTGAATATTGGAGAACCTTGTAGGCCTAAATTGTTGGTAATTCATCTCCCGTCATTAAAATCAATCAGCATACGGGCAAATTAAGGAAACGGCTGATGCGTTGCCCTTACGGGGTGCCATGCATTGGTGGCCGCATCCGTTGGAGCAGCAGAGGAGGCCTTCCGAGCAATCCGCATCGCTGCTGCACAGCTCCACGCACAGCCCCCATCCCCACGGTATCGGGCATTCCGCCGCTTCGACTGCAGGAAAAACTTCCCTGGAGACTTTCATTCCTACAGCGAAGGTCTCGCTTGGATGCTTAGCGCCCTGCGGCGCAGACTCACGAGTGGACGCCAGGGAGGCGAGCGCGACGAGGAGTCCGACGATCATCATGGCGATCTTCGTCGATTTCAGGTTGCGAAATGAGCGTCTATCGAACGGCAATGGAAGATTAGATGCCGGATACGCGAGAAGCGGCACGTGCGCGGATTCCCGTGTCCTTGCGTCGCGTTCCCATGGCCATGACTGAGGGAAGATTCCAGACTATTTATCTATATTTGTCTATGAGGATGCGGTGATACAATAGTGAAGAAAACATTCTGTAACTGAACTCGATGATGAGAATCCCACTTCTGACGCGTCTCATGAACTTGCTTAAGCTTGTATAGGCAGGCGTCGGTGAAAAGTGTAACTTGTGCATCCTGACAAAGGGCTAGACGTTCGGGGCATACCGAGGTTTAAGCCGGCAATCGCAGGGACTATCGTATATCTTCTACGCGTGGGCAACAAGGTCTGCCGTACCGAGTTCTTACGTACATCCTGATCGCCGTGACGGCTGCGCGTTCCGCGTTGATCGTATGAGTGGAGATTCGGTCCTCGTCGGGAGATGAGGGGCACGTGGTGAAGTTGAGGTTTATGTGCGGTGTTTGCAGGATTTGACACAGCACAAAACGAAGGAATACCGGCTCCCTTTAAAACGCCGCAAGAGCTGGCAGGCAGGGTAGACGCTATCCAATCGTACGATGCAGGATATACAAACGTTCTAAAAGTTCCTGGAACGGTCCCACGGTGTTGGGTGATGGAGGGACGGCTGTCAGTGTTTTGTTGGGCAGGTCACTTTTAACCATTGAGAAAACGCAATACTGCATGTCATCGCTTATTTCCCCCTTACGGGATGAGACCAACATCGATCGGAGGAACTTCGAATGCTTTCAAATGGGCGGGCCTGGTGAGTGGGGCACTTTCCGTGTGTGACTCACTCATTGTAGGTGTGACTCACTTATTGCAGGCGTGAAGGTACTCTTTCCTCCTCCTTAAAGGCAGAAGGAAAAACATTCAAGGGCGGTTGTTGGATTGTAACTTCCCGCCAGGTCGTCGGCCCTTGGGTGTTTGGCATGGTGCGGCGTCATGCCGGGTGTTTGGCATGGTGCGGCGTCATGCCGGGTGTTTGGCATGGTGCGGCGTCATGCCGGGTGTTTGGCATGGTGCGGCGTCATGCCGGGTGTTTGGCATGGTGCGGCATCATGCCGGAATGTCTGAGACACGATCTGTAATCGTCGACAGGAGAGACAAGAGGACACTTCTCCCTATCATCACTCGGGTGAGTGTGCAGCTCAAAAAGACGCCTAGGCATGGCTACGACCACGAAACGGTCAATCACTACAGGGACTTCATCGATCCAGTGGCGGGTGAGACTTATTGCACTCCCCGTCCTGCCATTTATATTATTTAACGAATTCAGAAGCCAATACCCAGCGGATGGAAGCGCAGTGGGTTGCTCTTAACAGAATTGTGAAAAGCGGTCGTGGCACGGGGCTCGCCAGCCGCCTCGCAGATGGTCGGCGGCGATCTCTACGGGCGAAGACGCCATTCTTGGACGAGGGGAATCCGCCGATTCCCGCAGTGAAGCCTCCACTCCGGCGTGAAAGCGCTTTGCTGCATTCGCGAAGGCATTTCACATTCGACATTGGGCCGCTCGTATTTTCGTCTATTCGCGGCTCATCCCTGGACGGGAGACACGGCAATCCGCGATCTCTTCGAAGGAAACCCTCCTGAGAGCTGAGATTCAGTGTCGAAATGTACCTGCTCGCCGTCACGTCGGGCAGCGCGTGGGAGTCGGATAGAACAGCCTTCGTTTCTTAAGTGACGGTCGTAGGTTGTAGAAATGCGCACAGACGATGCCCAAAACCGGCTAATATCACCTCTAGAAGTGTGTATGATACAAAAGATGTGCGTCCGAAGGAATACCGCCGAGAGGCCTATGGGGTTTTCCATTACGAGGCCATAGGGTGAGTGCGTTTGCGATTCTTGTAAGCCCCTGGGCCTGGAAACCTTCGTCTACCAACAAAGCGCGTGTTGTGATTTATTCATGCAACTGGTTGGCCTAAAAGCCTTTATCTCTCCAAGCCGTAGGTTCAGCGGGATGTGCAAGATTCCGGAGCAAATGACTAATCGGTATGCCGTGCCTAGAGCTATACTACCTCAGGAAGACGCGCGTGACCTACCATCCACTGCCCTTTCAAGCCGTAGGCTAGGAGGAAGGTCGCTAGAAATACGTAGGATGTTATATAATGCGCCTGTGAAATTAGAAGCAGCTATGTAGCGAAGGTCTTTTCTTATCGGAGCGCAACGCGAGTATTGGAACGCTAACAGGAAAGCTGAAATGGAAGCAGCGTAGGGATGCATTAACTGCGCGATGAGCAAAGCGTGGAAGGTGGAATGGACTTGGCCATCCTCATCGAGTGAGAATTTAGTAGATACAGGACGTCCAACCAGTCCTTCCGCGCGATCTGGACTCTAGGGATGTGAGTGCTCTGTTGAGACCTGCCTGGCTGGACGTTTCGAGGCGGAGAAAGGCAAACTTCGGCGCAGTTGTTGGAAGTTCCGTTCGAAACCCGTTGGAGTTGAAAACGCGTTTGCTTCCTTTGATGCAAGGACCATTGACATCCTGACGATTCTTCTAATAATTTAAATCGAAAAGGTAAAAAGTTGTGGTGGTTGTGGCTGCCACCCCCAACGCGCGGGCCTACGATGCAATGCCATTCTGGGACATAGGCCATCCGCTGCCTAAAGCGCCAGGCTTACAAGGCTACGCCTTTCCAGTCCACATTATATTTTGATTCGAAGAGCCCGAGGGTTGTGGTTGTGGTACTTTTCACCCCAGCGCGCGAGGCCTAAAAGAGACTGTCATTTCAGGCCATAGGCTGGGCCATCCTGGGCTCAAAGCGCCAGGTCCTTGAGGCTATGCTATTCTAGGCCATCCAACGCTTATAGCGCTAGCTGTATCGGTCTGAGCCATAGGTTTCATACTTAGCTGTGACAAAGGGTGGTAATAACTGAATGCGTGTCACGTTTTCACTGATCGACTGCAAAATTCTACATCTGAATACATTCTTTGATCAAGTGTTTTTTTTTTTCTGTATTTATTTATTTCTTCCATTAGATCAGGCGTGGCTCTCGGGACATCCCTTCCATGCAATAGCTTTCTGCTTGCGTTACATGTCATGGTCGATTTATTTGAGTTCTCATAATTGATGAAGTCAAAATAATAACGTAAATTCTTTGTTTCATACGTTGCATAAACGGACCGCTCCTCCCATCAAGATGGTCGCGATATTTGCGAGGTGAGGCTGAACGTGAAAAAAAAATGTTGAAGGAGGTCCCCCAGGACGGCGATGAGGCAGTTGTTGCTGGTTAAAAACGTTTGCCACTGCAGTTGCAGTACGAAGTGCCTAAATCGGTGCTAGCCGTAATGGCTAGAATCGGTGATAAACAGCAAGCACATGTACGTAGGGAGCTTAGGGCCGCTCAGACCGCTGAACAGCGAGGGCTGAGCTCCGGAATAGGAGAGCCGTGCAGCCAGCTTAAGCAACTTGATGCAAGGTTGGCATATTCAGGAATTTGTCTTTAGCACTGTGCCATACATGCACTAAGTTCCCTCTGTGCCGTCGAACAAGTTCTTGGAAACGGTCCGTAATGTTTCAGAATCATTGGTGTCTGTACCGTACGCTAACGCTAATAGCCGATGAGCTAATCGGTGATGCAAGAGTGAATGTGCTAGGAAGACGAAATCAGCAATGTCGTCTTGAGTCCCATGAAAACGGGGGGGGGGTAGAGACACGATGGACGGAACTTTGAAGGCATGAGAGGCTGAAAACCAAGGAACGGCCGAGAATTGCCAGTCAGGTGTGCTACAAGTACACCAGCGAGCCTCTTGATGCCATCCTTATCCATCACGGTATAAGAAGATGGCTTGGAAAGGCATAGCATCGTAGACCCGTGCGAGGAGGTTGGCAGCCACCACCACCACCTCAATATTTGACCTGTTCAAATTAAAGTATTAGACCAGCGGCCGCTACGCTGGCCGTCTATTGTGAACATAATGTCTCCTTGACAATCCGCTGTTCACCTCATTCAGAACTGAACCGCTTCATTACATGTATACACACTTATAGCCTACAGTACACAGTGAGATTCTACGGAAATAAAAAAAAAAGGAAAAAACCTTAGCTGTGTCGATCCAAGTACGAAGCCTATGGCTCGGACTGATATAGCTCAATGGACCTGGCGCTAAAAATGTTGGACGGCCAAGCCTCAAGAACCTGGCGCTTTGAGGGGTGGATGGCCTAGCCTATGGCCTGAAGTGACAGTCTCGTAGGATTCGCGCGCTGGGGTGACAACCACCATTTCTCTCGGGCTCTTCTAATTAAAGTATACTAGCGGCCTGCGGCCGCTACGCTGGCCGTCTAGTAGGTGGAAATTTGAATCGTCTATTTTGAGCATAATGTCTCCTTGACAAGCCTCTGTTCATCGCTTTACCCGTTCGGAACTTAACCGCATCATTGCATTTTCTTGGAGATATTCCGGCTGAATGCCACAATCGTTCATTGTGAACGGTTGCAGTGTTCTTAAGACTCAAGACGACTTTGCTGATTTCGTCTCCCAAGCACATTCAGTACTTTTACATCACCGATTAGCTCATGGGCTATTAGCGTTAGCATATAATACAGACACCAATGATCCTTAAACAGTACTGATCATTTTCAAAAACTTGTTCGAAGGCACAGAGGGACTTTAGTCGCTAGCATTTTGCCGCGCATGCACTACCCTTAGGCTCTGAAGTGTCACTGGTGCTAAAGTGTGAGTTGTAGCAGGAGCATTTTTCCGTTTCGAAACAAATGCCTCCTCCCTACATCAAAATGTACAGCCTGACAGTGCTCACTGCGACAAACAACTGTAATGATTGAGACGACATTGAGAGGCATAACATCCCGAGTTCCGTGGTGTAATGGTAGCACACACGACCGGGAATCAGAAGGACTGGGTTCAAATCCCGGCCGCCCCCCCCGGCTTTCGCCATCTGAGTGCTACGTTCCTTGCATCAAATGGCTCAGCAGGCTGCACGGCTCTCTTATTCCGGAGCTCAGCATTCGCTGCCTCTACCTGCTGTTCAGCGGTCTAAGCAGCTCTACGCATATATGATTGTTGTTCATCACTGATTCTAACCATTACGGCTAGCACCGATTTTGGCACTTCCCTCCTCAACTACAGTGTCAAACGTTGATTTTGCGCCAGACTAACCGTTTTTCACCAGCAACAACTGCCTCATCGCTGTCCTGTGGGACGTCCTTCAACATTTCTTAAGAACTCAAATCGGCCATGACATGAAACGCAAACAGAAAATGGAAGCGATGGCGCGAACCGCCACACGTTTTTCACCAGCAACAACTGCCTCATCGCTGTCCTGTGGGACCAGGAAGTTGTAAAGAATTCTTGAGTTTAGCCGGTACTGTACTTTGCGTTTGTCTTTTACCTTCGCTACCGCGCTTGGCGGTGTAGACTGGATTGCCCCTTTTTTTGTGGAGACGTTTCTTGTATAACAAATGACGAACTTGCAGTCGATTAGTGAAAACGTGACACGAACTCAGCTGTGTCACGCAAAGGGTGCTACTAAGTATGAAGCCTATGGCTCAGACTGATATAGCCCCATGGACCTGGCGCTTTGAGGGGAGGATGGCATAGCCTAATTGGCTTGGCGCTTTGAGTGGTGTATGGCCTAAAATTATCTAGTCTCGTAGACCTCGTGCGTTGCTGTGATAGCCACCATCACAACTTCTTCCCAGCACATTGAATACTCTTGCAATATCGATTAGCTTATGGTACAGGTACCACTGATTCTGAAACATTAAGGGCAATTTCCAAGAACTTGTTCGACTTTAGCACAGAGGAAATTTAGCGCATGTGCAGCAGAATACTAACGAATGATTCCTGAAAATGCCTCGCCTCCACATTAGCACCGGTGAACAACAGTGTGAGCGTTAAGTGTAAGTGGCAGCAATGTGAAACAAATCTCCTCTCCCTACAGCAAAATGTGCAGCCTGACAGTGCTCGTTGCACAAACAACTGTAGTGATTAGAGATGACATGGAGAGGTCTGACAAAATGTCCCGAGTTCCATGGTGTAATTGTAATGGTGCTTGTGAGGTTTATTTTCTCAAGAGAAAGGAAAGGAGTTTACTTTAAGACTCACACCATCACAATGATTAAGAAGAGAAAAAAAAAACAAGAGAAAAGGAGGTGGTGAGAGCTTGGTGAATCCTACTGTGGGCCTCTGCCCAAACCTGATACTTAAATATCAGGTCTGGATCCTTTCAATGGAATTAACCTAAATACACAGGTCTAATGAACAGAGATTCACTTTTTAATAACAAGTGATCAGTACTAATCACTCACTACTAACCATCACATAATCGACCCAACTGCATGAACACAATCCGCTAAGGTCTTGAAACTCAGTGCACCCAGTCAATCCGAATTCATTGCACGAAACATAAGCACCATCAGATGACTCATTTGAATACAATTTGAATACCCGAGCACTTCGGTGAACAGACGAGAAACGATCACAAAGACGTGGGTCGCCCGCATTGGAACACGCGACCAAGAAGGGTGAGTGGCCACGAGTCCACAGTGAGAAGCGTTCTCTCCAGGCACATCTTCAAAGTTCGGAAAAAATGTTTTCCAACCAACCCATTGCTGCACTGTATTTAAAAGGGTCTAGTCCTAACAAGCTAATACTTAGACCTAAAGGTTAACAGCAAAACATGGCTCTCCTAGACCCATACAAAACAGAGCACCAACATTCTCAAGGCATCCGTGCAGATACACAAACAAGTATTACCATCAGGGGCCCACATCCACGTGGGTGGCAGTGATGCCATTACCCCATCACATAATGGTAGCACACCTGACCGGCAAGCAAGAGGGCCGGGTTCAATTCCCGGCTGTTCAATTCCTGTTCATCAGTCATTCTAGCCATTATGGCTAGCACCTCCTAAAGCAATGATTCAGGCACTTCGCCCCGCAACTGCAGTGACAAACGTTGTTTCCGCGCCAGCACCAATCGTTTATTATCTGCAGCGACTGCCTCATCGCCGTCCTGCGGGACCTCTTTCAACGTTTTTTTTTCACGTTCAACCTCACCTCGCAAAAACCGCCACCATTTTGATGGGAAGAGCGGCCCATATGCGCGAAGTATGAAACAAAACACCTACGTCATTACTTTGATTTCATCAAGCATCAGAACTCAAATTAATCGGCCATGACATGAAACGCAAACAGAAAACTCTTGTATGGAAGCGATGTCCCGAACCGCCACGCCTGACCTAACGGAAAAAAGTAAATACAGAAAAAAAAACTTCAACAAAAAATGTATTCAAATGGAGAACTTGCAGTCGATCAGTGAAAACGTGACACTCAGTTATTACCACCCTTTGATTGATATAGCGAAGTATGAAGCCTATGGCTCAGACTAATATAGCTGGCGCTATAAGCGTTGGATGGTCAAGCCTATGCCCTAGAATAGCATAGCCCGTGGACCTGGCGCTTTGAGGGGTGGATGGGCCAGCCTATGGCCTGAAGTGACATAGTCTCGTAGGCCTCGCGCACTGGCGTGACAATTACCACCACCACCACAACTCTCGGGCTCTTCGAGTTGAAGCATAATGTGGACTGGAAAGGCGTAGCCTTGCAGGCCTGGCGCTTTAGACCGTGGATGGCTTGGCCTATGATCTAGAATGGGATTGCATGGTAGGCCTACGCGTTGGGGGTGAAAGCCACGGCCACCATCACCGCAACTTTTGACCTCTTCGAATTAAAGTATTAGATTAGATGACGGCTTGGAAAGGAGCAGTCTTGTAGGCCTGGCCTATGACCCAGAATGGCATTGCATCGTAGGCCCGCACGTGGGGGTGACAGGCACGACCACTACACAGCTTGTGACCTCTTCGAATTAAAGTGTTAAATGGCTGAATTAAACGATGGCAATTAGTCATATGAGACCTGTAAATGTTTAAAGGTATGTTACGAGAGACCGAGCTTTCCTCTGTTATTTTGTATATGGTACACGGTACTCGAGACACCGTGGGTCCGGGTGGAGGGGCTCAGAAGAGTACACGTACGTCAACAGTACCAAACATATACTTTATTTTCCTTCCTTCCCTCGCCGTAAACACAAAGAGTCGGTCGTTGAGTCGAGTCTTCTAGTCGACGACCGGTTCAGGGCCGCTGTCGGAGCTTGAAGTCTCCGACAGATGTCGCTGTCGCTTCCTTTGGGGGAGGTCACTGGTCCTATGAGGGGGGGAAGAGAGAAGGGATGACGCTTCCTAGGGCCCTGCGTTTGCTGGAGACTAAGTCCGGCTGGTCAGCTCGGGGTTTGGAAGGCGGGTAAGGGCTCTCAGCCGATGGTCACCAAGGACAAGATCGGGATCGCCGATACGGCCGCTCGCCGTGCTTGAGGTCAGTGGACGGTCTGTTGGGCGTAGCTGGGACTACTTACGGGTCAGAGCTAGGGAGTGTGGTCGTCAGGGGATTGGAATTGTGCTTTGGATTCTTCAGATCTCATTGGATTACTCGATAGGGAGATTGTTTCGTGCCGTTTCTCTGGGTCGCTTAGCGTCGGTCGTTTGCCTTTTTGGTCATTGGGGACTGTCGGGATCGTCGTGGGTCGTTGATCCGGTCCTTGTTCTTTTGCTTGCTAGTGGCCTGCGAGGTCACTCCTCTTCCCGGTGCCTAACTCACCGGTGTCCCTTATTTCTCCCCTACTGATCATTTTTTATCGCTTATTTTTAATCAACTTACGGCAGTTCCGTATTTTTTCCGTTCCATTTAATGTTGGACCGACTGGTACCATTAATCTAATCCATACAATAACTTAATTGTGACAAATTACAAAAAATTAGACATATACAACGAGATGCTTCCGCGCCATCTCTGGGCGGTCTTAAAATCTATTTTACTTGCTGCTCCCGTGATAGGTATGTGCAGCAAACTAAAGAAACACGGAGATGCAACTCCCACCTAGGACGTCGCAGCATCCACTTCCTCTCATCAACCATGTCCAAATAGGGATGCCTTTGGCCATCCTTGAAGACGTCAAATTTGTCTTGTTTTATTTTACGTAACTACGTAAATTTTGCCAAATGCCCCACAAAGTGGGCCTTCTTCCTCGAATAATCTAGTAAACTTACCTTGGCGTGCCGCCACATGCCCTCAAAGGTGTTCGTATGGGTGGTGGATCCTTTGCTCTGATTGACGTTAGTGGTTCACAGTCAGGTGTTTGAAAGCCGGGCTCATTTGAGATGTCTTTACGTGCAGCCCAACAGATTAAGATGAGGCGGAGTAACGTGTCTGAATTCCTCTCCTTGGCGGGAACGAGGAAACACCTTCCCGTTCCTCGTTCCACGCCTCCTAAAACCTATTGACCGTCGACATGGTGACTTGTCGGTGATGGTATTTCCTTCGGCCGAACTTTCGTCCTACTCCACGATTTTCCCCTCTCACCTTTCCAAATGCCTTCTTCAATGCATACATGCGATAGAGGAAACTTCTACTTCCCTTGAGTTGTGGAACCACACTTGTGGAATGTCTTAACATGCGTGTAGAAAGTCTCACCTCTCGACAGACCGAGGCCCAATCCACGACTGTCCAGGAGGAGACTCCTGCTTCATGGGTGATGTACTCCAGGGACACGTCAAGGAACCAGAGATAAATAATATGCGAAATTTCGATTAGTCGTAGGTTTGGATTTAGAAAGAGGGAATCCTTCCTGATCAATGGTAACTCATGCATTTGATTTTATTATGTCCCTTCTTTGATCCTTGGTCGTTTTGAGTTACTGTAAATCAAAGATGTGGACTAACAAGTACAACAAATTTAGATGGCATTATTGGACAAAGAGACCGAGGTTTTCAGGAAGATTACTCAATTGTTAAGCTACCACGGATCGAACTAGGAAGCTTCTGTGGCAGTTACAAGAAGATCTGCTGTTCGAAGAACAGTTTTGACGCGAAGAACTGAGCTCGATTCATGTACCAGCTCTCTTAGCTCTTCAGTGCCAAATTCTCCCTCATCCTCTTCTGTCATGCCATAATCATGGGAAAAGGCTTGTTGTTTCATCCATCTTTTCTTCTCATTTTCCTCACAAAAAAGCGCCTTCTTCATTCTCACCCTATACTTCTAGGCCTCTCTTTTTTTGATCAAGAGCCTTACCACGAACTGCAAGCATTGACTACGTTCTTCAACATCCCGTCAGTTATAGGTAAATGGAGCCTCTCGTACAACTCTTAGCCAATAATATT